AGCGCATGCACCCCATAGCAAAAATCTCTCTATAAATAAATAAATAGTGTTATTCCAGCTCAGGATCTGTGGCTCACCTAGCCATGGATTGAATCAAGCTGAGCTTGAGTTCGTTTAGCTCTCAGCTGCAGGTAGGAGGCAGTTCTCTCAGCCTCTTGGGTCTCTCATCATCCTAGCAGCAGGAGGCTAGCAGGGCATGTTCTCATGGAAATGGTGAAAGATTTAGAGGGGCAGCCAAACTACATGGCATTCCTCTAAAATTCATGGACGGAAATAAGTCACATGACCACACCCAGTGTTACTAGACTAAGGAAATATAGTCTCTTTAGGTGGAATAGCAGTCATATGACAAAGAAAATGAGGATATAGGGAAGGATGCAAAGTTGAGAAAACTAATATTTGTACCATTAACCATATAAGGGAAAGATAAATGCACAATTTTCCGTTTATCAAAGGATGGGGATTTCAAAAGGGGATGGGTCCTATCCCTAACACACCAGGAACATGTTCCTAGAGGAGGGGGCTTTGCATGCAGCTGCTAAACGTGTTTGTATTTCAAGAAGCGGGCATGGAGATCAGGCAAAAGGTGCTCCAGGAACAGTGTGGACATGTGCAAATCATTTCACTATTACATTATAAAGAAGTTCGTGGGAAGACAAAAGTGACAGCTGTAGAAGAAGTAGCTCTGTCAAAAAAGCTACAAACAGCAGAGATGTCCACGTATAAGAAATTTCTGTATGGTATCTTTTTCTGGAAGTTCTTTCGGTTTAAGTGTTCATATCCAAGGTATGAATAGTGGAGAAACACACAAGAACATAGCTTTTGTTTGTCTTAGGAACTGGAGTGGAAGTTGGAAATAACATAAAAGTTGTCTATTTTAGAGATGAAGAAATTTGTATTTCAGAGATAAATTCTCTCTCACTGTATATTTGTGTGTGTGTGTGTGTTGGTGTGCTTGTACATGAGTGTGTGTGTATAAAACTATATGAAATATATAAATAAATGTATAAAACAAATAAATATCTTCCCCAATAAACCTATATATAATATATAACTTTTTTATGGGGGGGAGAGGTTTTTTCACTATAGGGCGCGTGCACTCGCCAGACAGAGAGAGACAGAGAGACAGAAAGCAAGAAATCACCCCCCAGGGGGGATGGTCACGCCGCAATCCCTTCTCCTCCATTCTCCTCTCAGGATCTTGGGCATGCATGCACACACGCCCGGTGTGAGTTTTAAGCCACCAGGTCCGGGACACTAACCGCAGTCGACTACGTGGGAGTCCAGCGACATAGCCATTACGCTAACTGCTGGTTCCCATATATAACTATTTTTATAGAGAGAGGCTAACTTTATATATATATACATGCACACACACTAAGAAATAGTAGGTCATCAGGAAAGTCATGAGGCATTTTCACATAGAAAAATATAGAAAAATACATCGTGACTTTTTCAGTGACCTGATACTATTTCTCCAAGTGGCATTCTTAAGAAGACGCTCTCCATGTGCACTCCCCGGTCCTTCTTCTGAAATGTAGTCATCTCATTTGTAAACGCAACCTAATCAACCCCGCTAACCTCAGCCTAACACAGGAGGTTTCTCTGGGGAATAGAAACAAGGAAACTTTGAAGTGCTGTTTAGATGATCACCTGTAACAAAGACCAGAGCTCAGTCAACTGTGGCGTCAGAGGCTTTGTCCCCTGGCCTGGAGAGGGCCCTATCCACTTGGTCTGCTTTCACAAAGCGCGTTTTATGAAACGCCAGGCCTATGCATTTATATACTGTTTACAGCAGCATTTGCACGACATGGCAGAGTTGAGTCATAGTGATGGAGACAGAGCCCATATGGCCTGCAAAGCCTCAGATAGTTCATCTCGGCCCCTGTGTTACAGTCGGCCCACCCTGGTGTGGATCATGGAGAATCAGCAGTTTCTGGAACGGACGACACGTACCTGTGCACTTTGCCTCTGAGGATGGCAGTAGCAGGAAGTCCGCCCCAGAAGGGTATCTGTGGAATCAGAGCATTGCCCCCTGTGACTGTCTTCTCTGAAACAATTTTGCTTCCTTCCTTTCCAGGGCTCTGCACAGGCCACCACCCTTAACCCTTTGTTCTCTATCCTTTGCCAGACTCCGACCTGAGCATGCGCACACTGAGCACGCCCAGCCCAGCCCTGATATGTCCTCCGAATTTGCCAGGATTTCAGAATGGAAGGGGCTCATCCACCTCCTCATCCTCCATCACTGGGGAGACAGTGGCCATGGTCCACTCGCCACCCCCAACCCGCCTCACGCACCCGCTCATCCGCCTAGCTTCCAGGCCCCAGAAGGAGCAGGCCAGCATCGACCGGCTGCCAGACCACTGCATGGTGCAGATCCTCTCGTTCCTGCCCACCAACCAGCTGTGCCGCTGTGCGCGCGTGTGCCGCCGCTGGTACAACCTGGCCTGGGACCCGCGGCTCTGGAGGACTATCCGCCTGACAGGCGAGACCATCAACGTGGACCGTGCACTCAAGGTGCTGACCCGCAGACTCTGCCAGGACACCCCCAACGTCTGTCTCATGCTGGAAACCGTCACTGTGAGCGGTTGCAGGCGGCTCACAGACCGAGGGCTTTACACCATTGCTCAGTGCTGCCCGGAACTGCGGCGACTGGAAGTCTCAGGCTGTTACAACATCTCCAACGAGGCGGTCTTTGACGTGGTATCCCTCTGCCCCAACCTGGAGCACCTGGATGTGTCAGGTAAATGGAAACCGACCTCCTGGCTTGGGCCTCCCTGATGTGCCATCCCAGAGCGGGAGGGCATTGGCACCACCAGCAGCCCCATTATTGTTGCCCATTAGAGATGGAGGGTGGGTGGTGGCAGGGCTGGCCCTTCCAGAGAAGCCATCTCTGTGATCATCACCCTGGAGGCCACAGGTATCCTTACATCAAACACAGGGGTCTTTGCAAAGTTCCTGGCAAATGTGTATGATGAAAATTCTATGCATGGATTTCAATTAGCACCCAGATAAACTCATACTTTAATTTTATTTTTCCAGAACTTTTGAAGTCCTCTTTTAATGTCCACCTCTAAGAGGAGCTCTAGACACCTTTTCCCTGGTAGTACAGGTTCACATGACTTTTAATTGTGCCTTTCCTCTCTGTAACTCAGTTATTTCTGAGCAATGCAGATAATAGACACCAACTATGGCATCTCATTCTAGATACAGAACCAAAAGGTAAACTCAAACACACTTGGTGTAGAAACTACCCTCTTGTGCACTTGATGTGGAGAACTACGTCTGAGCCATAACCACACCCCACCATATGTGTGTCTGTATGGCGGGCCATGCCTCTACAGTGGTCACTCAGCTGTGATCATCCACATTTTGTAAGCCTTGAAGGCAATCCACCATGGTCAAAGGTCTCCCTAGAGATCTCACCCCCCCTCCACCTCTGGGTTAATTTTATATCTTTTCTTAAGCAAAATTATCAATTATATAGTTGCACGGGTGAGGTCCATTGAATCAAACCTTGAGTCCTTTTAAAAATCAAAGGAAATCTGGGGGCCATCACTTAGCGTAATGGCTATGTCACTGGACTCCCACGCAGCCGACTGTGGTTCGAGTCCCGGACCCGGTGGCTTAAACTCACGCCGGACGCGTGCCCAAGATCCTGAGAGGAGAATGGAGGAGAAGGGATTGCGGCGTGGCCATCCCCCCAGGGGGTGATTTCTCGTTTTCTGTCTCTGTCTGGCGAGCGCACGCGCCCTGTAGCAAAAACCTCTCCAAAAAAATCAAAGGAAATCTCAGCATGGCTGATTTGCTTGAAAACCTCTCTCAGGCAGGAAGAATTAAAGCCCAGACTCACACTTTGGCGCCAGACGGGGATCCGGCTGGACTAACAGCCTTTCTTTATCTCATCCGCTGCCCAGGCACAAGGCGAACATTCGAGAGGCTGAAATGTATAAGATACATCAGGGAGTTAAAGAAATGAACAGCGTGAGCCACAAGCTCAGGGATTGTTGGGGAGGGATCAAGAAGTAAAACCATTCTGATGGGCGAACAAACAGAATTTGGGATTTACAAGCATCTGAGGTAAATGAGGCCCTCCAACAAAGTCTGAGTCAAGCCGGCTCTCGCAGCTTCCCTCTGTCTAAAGCCGACATCTGAAAATATTTCAGATGACAGTCCATTATTTTTTGCAGATTCTTTCCCTTGTTGGAAAGCAACTCCCGCTCCACTACTTCAGCTGGCTGCAGGACAAACCGTAGTAACCATATGTTCACTAAGTCGTGAGCAGCCGTTGGCATAAAGAAGCAGGAAACGAGGAGGTTTTCTTACATTTTTCCTCCAAGGAAATTTGGAAAAGAAAGCATTGTGATGTGATGGAAACTACTTTCAAAACTTGGTGATTTGGGACAATTCACAGATTTCTCTAGATGCATTTCCTCTTGAGTTAAAATAAAAAATAAAAAAGCAAAGGAGCAAAGGACTACAGTTTCAGCATCTTAAAAGCCTGAGTGTTTTATAAGCATACTATTTTATCTTATTTTCTCGGATTGGAAGATGATTTGCTTTTGGAATCCCCTCTTTGGTAAAGGGGCTTCTCACGCACTCTTGGTACAGCAGCTGTGCCCTCTCTTTTGGGGTCCTTTTAAAATTCAGAAATGCAGAAACCACCTTGGCTGCAAGTTCTTGGGTTTGTAGCCTGAGTGATCTTGCTTGGCCCCATGACTAATCATTATTAGTATGCCTGACGTCTGTCCCCCATGTGAACCTGACTACTATACAGATTCAGATATATTCATATAGCTTCCTCTCTTGTCTCCCATGACCCCGGTGATCTGTATACTTAGAGACTAAAACAAGGGGAATCTATAGCTCACTGAGTTAGGAACACAGAATCCCAGACATTGGAGAGATTTTCAGGTACATGAACTTGAAAGACCCACAGGCTCGGAGAATAGCCTGGTCATCGGCACCTACGACCGTGCACTCAGTTCTTGGAAAATGTGGCAATTGTTACAGTGATACAGAGGGAGGTCAGAGGGCTGCCAAGACTGATTTCACTAAGCCTCATTCTTGGTTTTCACAGCTGGTCTCTGAGAGTGTCTGCCCCTTTAATGGCAGTCACCTTGATTCAGAAAGACCCATCATTGTTCTTGAGCATAATTCCCCAAGAGGGCGTAAAAATGCCTGTTCTAACCTAGCAGTCAGGCATGTCTATCTCAAAAGCTATCTTTTCAGGCCATTGAAAACTACAACCAACTATAGTGTTTTATCATTACCACACACTACCTGTAACCAATAGTCTCTTTAAACATCAGTGGAATATATTGAAACTCACCAATTTTCAAAATATGGAATATAATTTTGAATGAAATGGCTTCATGGGTTGGCCCCACAGCACAGTGGCGGTTAAGTACTGTGCATGGGGTGGGGAGGGCAGATTCCACATGACCAAGGCAGTTTGACTCCCAGTCCCCTTAGCTTAAAAAACAGACCAGGCACATGTGCATGTGTGCTTAAAATCCTGATAGGACGGAGAAATAGAAGAGAAGGGACTGTAGCATAGCCACAACTCATTAAGGGGCTGTTTCTCTGTCTCTCTTTCTGTTGCTCTCTCTCCCTCTAGCATGCACTGGAAATTAAGAAAAACCTTTTTTTTTTGGAGAGGTTTTTGCTATAGAGCACATGCGCTTGCTAGAAAGACAGAGAGATAGAAAGTGAGAAATCACCCCCCCAGGGAGGATGGCCACTCCACAATCCCTTCTCCTCCATTTTCCTCTTGGGATCTTGGGCACGCACGCACACGCACCCAGTGTGAGTTTAAGCCACCGGGTCCAATACTTGATCCACAGTTGACTACATAGGAGTCCAGTGACATAACCATTATGCCAACTGCTGGCCCCAGAAAAACCTTTTTTAAAAGAAAGAGAGAGAGAGAGAGAGAAGGGAAGAAAGGAAGAAGAGAAAGAAAGAAAGAAAGAAAGAAAGAAAGAAAGAAAGAAAGAAAGAAAGAAAGAAAGAAAGAAAAAGAGAGAGAAAGAAAGAGAAAGGAAGGAAGGAAGGAAGGAAGGAAGGAAGGAAGGAAGGAAGGAAGGAAGGAAGGCAGGCAGGCTTCAGAAGGGTTATCTCCAACTAGAGACCTCGGAGTCATCTTACTTCTTTCTCGTCTTTTATATCCAACTTGTAGAATCTTGCGCAGGTAATTCTGTTTCCTCAGTACCTTAAGTTCATTCCCTTCCATCTATCTGCACACTTCATTAACCATTCTCACACCATCTCAGATCCCTCAACTCCCCTTTCACACTACCAATCTCCAGAGGAATTTTTCAAACTATAAATCTTACCATTCACTTCCTGCATAAAATTTCCAATTGCTCCCCATAACCTACCTACAGGAAAAGTTCAAGCTCCCCAGCAGAGCATTTAAGGGCCTTAATAAGGTGCCCCTCCCAGGTTTACATCTCACTCCTTTCCTGTGTGCACTCGATGCTTCCCTTCTATGGAACCATCTGCATATCCCAAATTACACCATATCTTTGCACACAGGGAAGAGTGGGTACCTCTCCAGCTTGCATCTCTCTCCCTCCCTGTCCCCCTGCCACTCCAACACCTCTTTTATCAACTTCTCATTGTCCCAGCTCTAGTCAGGGATCACCTGGGTATAGCTTGGCCTGCCTTACCCGTGATGAGCTAAGGATTTCCTTCTGGGTGTCTACCTTTGAATATCAGAAGGTAGAACAGCTCCATAGTTTGCATTTGAGTACAAATGAGACATGTTATATTTTATGACATTGTAATTAAATGACCAGTGGAGTGTCACAGCCCTTAATGGTCATCTTGACTTCTAAAAGGTTCAAAGTTGGTTACTACTTTAAGCCAGGAGTTAGAAGTTGTAGTGCAATACCTTCAACTTCCTCATCAGTAAAAATGAGGTAGCTGGAAGGGATTGCCATATGCTTTCTTTCTCCTGAATTTGTCTTATTATCTTACTACCTAGACTTCATATATATGTATCAAAATTGTTGTTACTTCATATATAGGTCTCCAAATTGCTTCTGCCTTTCAAAGATCTCCCTAGAAATCACAGAGATACCTAAAGTGGAGCACCTCCAAAATTCTGATTACCCAGTTTCTGAGTGTTCTCTTCCAGCAGCTACATCTACTGCAAATCTCTTGTGCACTTCATTAATTCTGTGACCCATCTCTGTCATTGCTTACTTCCCCTCCTATAACTGGGACCTTAAGTCAGGTGTTAAGGAACTTATCCCTCATCTGGATGTACAAGTCACATAATCTCAATGAGCTTGAGATGTGCCATGGTGATGGGCAAGGGGTTGGTGGAGGAGGGGACAGACAGGAGGGAGAGAATTATGAGGGAAAAATAACATAGTGTACGCTGTAAAGATGTACAATGACTAAATGCAAATAAGAAATAAGAAAATAAAATTTGAAACACAAAAAAAAGAAAAACGAAGGTCAACCTGAATGAGCCCTAACATTCTTTCGATGTCGATAACGTATAATACATGGTTATACATATACCTACTGAGCCATGAACCAATTTCTTTTCTTTTCAATCCAATCTTACAAAATCAATTAGAATTAGGGATAAACCTAAAATTGAAGATGATTGATCTAAACATATAAGCATATCAAAATAGTCTTTATCAATCTGAGCTGAACTAGTATCTCATTAAATCTGGAACTCAGTTTCAAAAATAAAGTATACATTTCCTTGGATTAAATATAGAGGAAAAACAAGAAACGTGAACCATGAATATAGGAACAGAATTTATTATATGCTCTTGAAAACAAAGTGACTTCAGAGGCACCCAGGTGGCCAGTCTCTACTGAAGGCATTTAAACTCCATATAAGCAGGATTACAGTCAGCCTAATGAGGGAAACCCCAAGCACAAGGATATCCACAGAACCACAGAGCTCCCTGGAGAAGTGTGACCAGCCCCGCTCAAGGTGCATCATCTCTGCTTTCCAGGGTTAGAATGTACTCTTCTCTCCTCCTGACAATTCTTTGCCTTTGTAGCACATGGCTTTTGAACCTCTCATTATTCCAAGGACTCAAGTGTTGTAGCGTTTCCTGGGCAGCCTACCAGCAGGTGGGAAGAAAGTCCTCATTAGCACTATATGCAGTTCGCAGAAGCCTGGATAATGCATCAACAGCCAAGATGCAGAGGTGTCTAGAGGGAGGCACCCAGCTGGAGAGCTGCTAGAGGAACTTGAGAAAAGGAGAGAGTAAATGAAAAGAATATAAATACACACACACACACACACACACACAGTCTATGTAGGGGAATGAGTATATCTAAATATAACTGTATAAACTATATATAGGATATTTATTTGTTTTATATACTATAATATATTGTATGTATTTTATATAAAGTAATACATAGTAAACTGAAATAAATACACAGGGAATGAATGTTTCATGTGTGTGAATATATATAACATTTTTATGTAATTCATACACATATTTTTAGGAGATTAGAAACAATGTTTAAATAAAATCTAAAGATACCTTCCCGGGCATTAATATCCTTGTCTGTAGAATGGATTGGTCTAAGAATCAGGTAAGAAAATATTTATAAAACAATTTGTAAACTTCAGTGTTCAACACAAATAAAAGGCATGAGAATGAAGCCGAAATAAGCAGTTGTTTTTCAACATAGATACCAAAACCAAAGTTCTGAGGACAGTTAGGTGTTGGAGGTTGGATTAGCCCATTCAGACCTTCTCTAGAAGATGCTCTTCCATCTGTAAGCTTATTCATTCCACAGACCCCCAGTGAGCAGTAGCTATAATCCAGGAATGACAGAGCAGCGAGCAGCAGTTCAGAGTCCTGTTTCTCAGGAGTTTACGTTGCAGAGTGAGGAGACAGCAGACAAATAAGCAAGCAGATAAACATGCCACCAAACGATGAATGGTGCTGACAGTAAAGGAGAGTAGGGCAAGGGGTGCTTTTTCTACAGGGTGCTCAGAGGAGAATTGTCCAGAAAGCCCACATAGGCTCAGGGCCCTAAGGCAGCAAGACAGCACCTTAGGCCTCTCTGGGGGAGCCCTCCCAGTGCACAGACCTTGAGGTTCAGAGCACTTGAAGAGTCTGGGAAACTCAGAGCAGCCCACTGGACTGGGAGACATGGGTCAGAGACGAGGTCAAGAGCACAGGGCAGGTTCTTGGGAGCCCCACCAGACTGTCAATTTAATACCTGGAGTGAAACAGGTGCGACCCAGAGGTTTTGAGCAGAATGACATGGTTTGAGTTCTGTTTTCTGGAACCCCCTGACAGATATGTAGTGAATACACTGTAGGGACTAAAGGCAGGGCCTAGAGTAGTACTCCAATATACCATAGAGAATACCATGCGTGACAAAAGAGGGTTGAATGAATCCCCACATAGTCATTTTGATAGACTAATTACCTATGTCTCTCAGAGAGTCTTCGAAGTCCATCCATATCCATTCTCTCCCTGACTATAATAGTGCAGCCCCGTTTCACAGAAGAGTCTCCAGACATAGAAAAGCTAAGCCTCCTGCCTGAGGTGGTATTAAGTAGTTCGGAACTAAGTGGGACTGGCAAGCCAGGGCTCATTCTGCCAGACCAAGGTCATGCCCAAGCTTTGCTGCTCATCTCTCACTTCTTTGAACCAGGAAGCTACCACTTAACTGCAGGGCAAAAAGTAAGCTTCACGACGCTTCCAGAACTTTCCAGGGCCAAGACAAGCTATTTACTCACATGGTCTCATCCCATTTTAAGGCAAAGGGAACATTTGGAAGGATAGTTGGCTTGGCATCAGGCAACAGTGATGTACCAGGAGTTGGAGCTGTGGTTCCCTCCTATTCTGTTCCAGCAAATCCCCTTGAGCCCAGATCATCAACATGGCAAATAATGAAATGAACACGGGGAATCCATTGTTGATTTTCTTCTCCAAGAGGCAGACACAAAAACAGGTAGTGCTGGGATGGGCTTGCTGTCCGGTAGGGATCAGTGAGGACACCCTGGCAACCTCCCATCCCGACAGGTTCCTCTGAGCGTGTGTTCTGTTTCTGTGCAGGGTGCTCCAAAGTGACCTGCATCAGCTTGACCCGGGAGGCCTCCATTAAACTGTCCCCCTTGCATGGCAAACAGATTTCCATCCGCTACCTGGACATGACGGACTGCTTTGTGCTGGAGGACGAAGGCCTGCACACCATCGCGGCGCACTGCACACAGCTAACCCACCTCTACCTGCGCCGCTGCGTCCGCCTCACCGACGAGGGCCTCCGCTACCTGGTGATCTACTGCAGCTCCATCAAGGAGCTGAGCGTCAGCGACTGTCGCTTCATCAGCGACTTCGGCCTGCGGGAGATCGCCAAGCTGGAGTCCCGCCTGCGGTACCTCAGCATCGCGCACTGTGGCCGGGTCACCGACGTGGGCATCCGCTACATCGCCAAGTACTGCAGCAAGCTGCGCTACCTCAACGCGAGGGGCTGCGAGGGCATCACGGACCACGGCGTGGAGTACCTTGCCAAGAACTGCACGAAACTCAAGTCTCTGGACATCGGCAAATGCCCTTTGGTATCTGACACGGGCCTGGAGTGCCTGGCCCTGAACTGCTTCAACCTCAAGCGGCTCAGCCTCAAGTCCTGCGAGAGCATCACTGGCCAGGGCTTGCAGATCGTGGCTGCCAACTGCTTCGACCTCCAGATGCTCAACGTCCAGGACTGCGAGGTGTCCGTGGAGGCCCTGCGTTTTGTGAAACGCCACTGCAAACGCTGCGTCATCGAGCACACCAACCCTGCTTTCTTCTGAAGGGGCCGCTTTCCTCCCGCGTTGTTTTTCAGACACACGTGAACAAGACAACATGTTTTCTAAAAGCAGCATATGTATGCACGGACACCTACTCATAACAGCTCTTTTTACAGGAAGGTTCTTAGGATTCTGGTTTGTATTTTCTTAATTTCTCATGGGCAACAGAGGTCAAAGGAATGAAAGGGGAAGGAACAAATTTCTGTCTGAGCAGTTTTTTATTTAGTCAGGCATTTTCTCTTTTCACAATAGATGCATCTGAGCAGGCTGATTGCAGTATCTGTAGAAAAGTGAGGGGGAAAAGCCATTTACTCTCCTCCTTCACCCCTGCTCTGGGACACAGGCCACACCCCCAAAGTTCTACCTGCCCAATCCTCCCCCACTCCCAGAACAAAGCATCAGAATAGTAGTGCTTTCCAGATCTCTTTAAACTGCTTGCCTGGCCTGACTCACACACTCCTCCATCCCACACCAAGCAAATTCTGGTTAAACTGATTGTCATAGCACTTTGCATATACAAAGCACTTTCCAAATCTTTTTAAAAAATTCTTTGTGGTAAACAGTATGGTGGAAGAGAAGACCTGCCTTCTCCCAGCTCTGCCTTCTCCCAGCCACTAAGTAGCTGTGTGACCTTGGCTAAAGCATTTCACTTCTCTGGGCTTCCGTTTCCAGCTCTGAATCAGAAGGACGAACTTCATACTCCTTTTAGAATTGATGGAACAAAGACACCAATGAACAGGGCACCTTGGCACAGACACACAGTCTTCTACCTCTCCCAAGACAGTTGGTTTCGCAGACTGGCTGTGCTGTTGAGAGATTCTGCATTGCCAGTCATTGCACAAAAGGGTCCTGTAGTCCTTTGGCTCCCGTGTACTTGTTTAGATGGGAGCATCTGTGGCATTTCTGCCCTGCGGGCCACGATGGTTTGGGGGCACATGCACTGTCCTCATTCCCCTCTTCCAAGCCACCTGAGCAAAGCACCAGAATGCCTAATCACAGCCAAGCCCAAAGCTCCCAGTTCTGACTTCACAGAGTGTTTTCCAAGAGGAGAAAAGACCCTCATGATTTTTAATTAACAGATGAGGCCCAAGGGAACCCATGTCCTCAACAGTTTTTCTAATCCCACTCAGAGTACATGTGGCATGCATCAGGCACATCTGTCCTGCAGCTGGCAGGGACAGATGCCTGGTTCTTTGTCATTCAAATCACACTTTGACTTCTCTCATGTATTTATTTCTTTATGCATTCAGACTTTATCACACGAAGCCTGTGGGGTTCGCTTCATAAGCATTAACTGTGCACATTGCCACCTTGCATGCCTTCTTCCATGGCTGTCTGCAGGATTTCCAAAGAATGCACAGCATTCTTCCAGGTGTTTAAATACTGTTCACTCAAAATGCCAGACAGCTGAAAGAGGAAACACATTGATAAGACATAGATACTAGTCCACAAACCAGGCCCTTGGAATAGAACTGTAACTCATTACAAAATATTCTAAATGGATAGAATATTAAATGGCCCTACTTGAATAAAAATCTGCTTGGTAGCCTCGTTTGTGTGAAAACAGGTAGCCAGAATAAATTACATTGCTTGCTTTTTTTATGGAATTCAGATTGTCTTTTTTAATAAGTACATGACTTTTCCCAAATTATTCTCTGGCCAGTCCCCTCTTTCATCATTGCAGACACAGCTCATCCATTTCTTTCTCAAATGATCCCACTATCCAAGCCCAAAATTGCTGCTTTTCCAAGCCACACATGCTGACTTGGTTCCAGACCAAGCTTACACGCTGCTCGACAACTGCACTCCCACTGTAGGCTTCTGTGCAGACTGCTGTCTTATGTTGGGAGGAGGGGTCAGTGTGCTGAGGTGGCACTGGCTCAGGAGGTTGTTTTCATGCATCACATGAAACATGGCCACTGTCCAGTCAGCATCTTCATCAACTTGAATGTACAGTCAAGGTCATGTGCCATAGGGAAATGAGTTGTTTGACTAGGGACAGTATTTCCTCATGGCTACAGAGTTCAGAACCATAAGTAGTTGAAGGTAGCATTTCCCCAACTCTATGACTGACTTGTGCCCTCATCTAGAGTTTCAGAATCTGAGAATCACAAGGGATTTCCCTAACCCATCCAAGTGAGCTGGCTGAATACTCCCAAAATAAGCAGGAAAGTCCAACATGGCTCCCTGAACCATGAGAAGTATTCCTTTTCATCACCAACTGACCATGTCACCTAATCTGTCTTCCAAACATGAGACACAGCAGACTGTCCCCACTGCTTGCTCAGCACATCCTGTCTCTCTGTTTCTTTCTTTGTCCCAGTCTCTTCCTCATCCTTTTCTCTCTCCCTTGAGGGATGTATCTATGATGGAGGTTACTTGGGAAAAGCTCGGCAGATTTTTACAGACCAAGCAAAAGGCCTCACTAAGAAATTTATCTGTTTTGAAACCTTGCTTCCTTCCTGCCTCTGCTAAATCGAATGCTCATTGTTTTGTTTTGTTTTGTTTTGTTTTTAATTCTAATGTTCAAATCACTGCGTGCTGTATGACTCTAGAAAGCCTTAATTTACTACCACCAAGAAATAAAGCAATATGTTGGTAATCTGGCTCAGCTTTTTTTTAATACCCTTTTCAGAAGACAGTGGTGTTCAGATGGGGATGCTTTCAATTTGTTTTATGTTGAAGGATGGAGGATGCTAGATTGTTACCACAGTGGCCTCTTTCCTTTTTTTCTTTTTCTTTTCTTTTTTTTTTTTTTTTGAGAGATTTTTGCTATAGGGTACATGTGCTTGCCAAAGAGTCAGAGATAGAGACAGAAAGTGAGAAATCAGATCCTGGGAGAATGACCATGCCACAAACCTTTCTCCTCTATTCTCCTCTCAGAATTTGGGGAACACATGCATACATGCCCAGTGTGAGTTTAAAGCTGCTGGGTCCAGGACTCAAACCATGATTGACTATGCAGGAGTCCAGCGACATAACCATTACACCATCTGCTGGTCCCAATGGTGGACTTTTTAAAATTGCATCCATGGCTTTGTCTTCTGTCTTGCTCCAATGATTTTGGCTTAAAATTGCAGATGAGTGAAAAAATATCACCTTGACACTATAGTTCTGGTCTTTATTTCCTTTATCCAAACTCTCAGTGTCAGATGTATTCTGGATTCATAAGTTTGAATGTGTTAGGAATCTATGGTTTATTTGTAACCCAAAGCAGTCTCTGGGACAGCACCATTAATCAAATATGTTCCTATTTCCTCAACAATAAATATGAATAGTTTCATTATATAAGATTATTACCAACTATTACTAGCCTTGTATCAGTTTGAGTTAGATTTTATTGCTAATTTTTACCATATACATAATGAAAATGCTTTTATTTTGTCCAGAGTTTTCTGGATTTCAGAATTATGGATAAGTAATTATGGATTTGTATATACTTATGCTGGTACTGGTACTAACACTGGAAGAATCTTCAAAATTATGCTGACCATTAGTTTATACCATTTTATACCTTTTTTAAAAAGGAGGGGGTTCCTAGAGTGTTAGAATGTGGAAGCAAAATTTGGCAACATGATCTAAAAGGAGAGACTGTTTGAAAATTAAAAATGTGAATGCTTTCCTCCCCACCCAGATCTTTAGATCTGAGAAATCAACATGGTAGAAGACAATACAGTGGCCTCTTTCCTTTTTTTCTTTTTCTTTTTTTTTTTTTTTTTTTTTTGAGAGATTTTTGCTATAGGGTACATGTGCTTGCCAAAGAGTCAGAGATAGAGACAGAAAGTGAGAAATCAGATCCTGGGAGAATGACCATGCCACAAACCTTTCTCCTCTATTCTCCTCTCAGAATTTGGGGAACACATGCATACATGCCCAGTGTGAGTTTAAAGCTGCTGGGTCCAGGACTCAAACCATGATTGACTATGCAGGAGTCCAGCGACATAACCATTACACCATCTGCTGGTCCCAATGGTGGACTTTTTAAAATTGCATCCATGGCTTTGTCTTCTGTCTTGCTCCAATGATTTTGGCTTAAAATTGCAGATGAGTGAAAAAATATCACCTTGACACTATAGTTCTGGTCTTTATTTCCTTTATCCAAACTCTCAGTGTCAGATGTATTCTGGATTCATAAGTTTGAATGTGTTAGGAATCTATGGTTTATTTGTAACCCAAAGCAGTCTCTGGGACAGCACCATTAATCAAATATGTTCCTATTTCCTCAACAATAAATATGAATAGTTTCATTATATAAGATTATTACCAACTATTACTAGCCTTGTATCAGTTTGAGTTAGATTTTATTGCTAATTTTTACCATATACATAATGAAAATGCTTTTATTTTGTCCAGAGTTTTCTGGATTTCAGAATTATGGATAAGTAATTATGGATTTGTATATACTTATGCTGGTACTGGTACTAACACTGGAAGAATCTTCAAAATTATGCTGACCATTAGTTTATACCATTTTATACCTTTTTTAAAAAGGAGGGGGTTCCTAGAGTGTTAGAATGTGGAAGCAAAATTTGGCAACATGATCTAAAAGGAGAGACTGTTTGAAAATTAAAAATGTGAATGCTTTCCTCCCCACCCAGATCTTTAGATCTGAGAAATCAACATGGTAGAAGACAATACTCATAGCTGAGTGGAAAACTTCATTTTTAGCAAGTAAAAAGCTTTTAAGACTTATCAATTTTAAGTGTATTCGTCTTTGACCTTCTCATTCTGTTAACTGTTTCAACAACTCTCACATAAACCAAGAGGACTGTTAATTTCCTTGCAATATTAATTTGAATTTCTTGTCAAGATCCCAGAATAAGGTTAGCAATAAGTTAAATGCATTATCTACTGAGGTTTATGATTTTTTATACTGATACTTGTTCAAATTAAAAGAAGTTTTCAAGGAGTAATATCTAAGAGCATTTAAGATAAAAATGAAAAGATTGACTATTTTAAAGAAATAAGTACAACAATAAAATCAATTTGCTTTGTCTAAATTGTCATGGAGAAGGCACCAAAAGTGGTGCACTTGTTCAATAGCTAGCAATCATGATTAGTTCAGAGAAAAGCTAATTGGAAGAAATGCTGACTAGCCAGTAGAAGAGGGGAAAAAATATTGAAAGACTAGGTAAATATTGCATTGGAAGCATTCACACAGAATATCTGAAACAAAACTGGTTTTCCTCTTACATACTTTTAATCAAATAGTTGTTTTTTTCTTTTAGATCTGTACACCAGAAGTTATTCTTCTGCAGGGGGAAAGAGGGAGAACCAGTCATTATATATTGCTGCCTATCATTATCTGATTTTGATGGTTTCACTAAGCCTTGGCTAAATACAAACCCAGTTGCCTAAAGAAAAACACACAGAGACAAGTTTCATTAAGATGACCACTGGCTGGGGAAGCCCTCCCGTGGGCGGGAAAAGCCATTCAAGCCATTCACACAAGGTAAGATATATTCTCACAAAGACTTAGCTAGGAGATTCCACACCCAGAAATGCACCTGGGGTATTATTACTTTTGTGTGTGTGTGCATCTCCTGAAGCCACAGGTCCATCTTGTAGAGCTCTTTTTAATCTCTCTAGTCAGCAGATCAGCTTATATTTTAAGCCAAATGGTATGAAAGAACATCTCCGTTTAGAAGCTGGACAGGGCAGAAAACAGTTGTGACAGCCCTTGCAGAGCTATCCCAGGAACTGTCTCAGATGCCAGGTCATGGACTGTTCAGCAACACTTCCTTTAAACTCTGCAGTATTGCTTCGAAGTGTTAGCAATCAGCATCATCCAGGAGTCAGAGGACAGCTTTGAAGGACCATTAAAAAAGAAAGAAAAATAAATAAATAAACTAACCTAAATATTTCCTAACAGGTCAATTCTGTGTTGTGCAGCCTTTGTCTCTGCAGCTGCCCAGCTACTGAATTTTATTCTGGTGATATCAGTAATTCTGAATTCTTTCCTGGCCCATGTGATCATTAATGTATCAGGGAGCTTAGAAATTGCAGCCATTCTTCATGAACCAAGGATGTCCAGGAAGTGCCAATCTTTTAAAATCAAAGCAAAACAACCCTGCACATTTTATTGGTCATCTACTGTATGCCAGCTACTGTGAAAGGTTCTAGGAAATAAGTTCATTATTCGTATACACAGGCACTCAGATCATAACTATAATATCATATCATAGAGTAGGGGAATGGAATATTTAAAAAAAGAATATGGGAACATCATCTAATTTAATCAGTATTTATTAAGCACCTAATATGTCCCAGTTACTGTTCTACTAGCAAAAGTCCTGCCCTGATGGAACTTATCAAAGAAAATGTGTTTAACACATTATTAGGAGAGAGGGATAAGGCTTATAATAATCTCTTAAAAGGGAAGACCCTTGAGCTGGGTTTTGTTTGCTCGTTTGGGGAAAATTTTTTTAATTAAAGTTTATTTATTTATCTTTTCTATGAAGTAGACAGAAAGAGAAAGATACCTCCATCAGGGTTTCATTCCATTATTCACCTCCAACCTTACCCAGTCAGGATCCCAGGTGCCTGCAATATACAGGGGAGTCCTCAGGATGTGAACCTGGGACCTACCCACATGGTTTCATCCTCACAGCATTGTGTTATTACTGTGCCACTATGGCTGGCCGTTTTTGTTAAGTTTATTTATTTATTTTATGAGAGAGAGATAAAAAGACAGGTGCCCTTGATAGTCAAACCATGCCACCATCTTCCTCCCTCACCACCCTCAACATTCCAGCCACCCAAGGTCACTGGTGTACCAATAGGCTTGCCCAGAGTGTTCAAGTCAACTGGGAATCCAAACCTAGTCCTTCCCAAATGGCTTTAGTAATTCATGGCTCACCCTACTGCCTGTGTCACTGCTGTTGACCCCAATCTGGTTTGTGTGTGTGTGTGTGTGTATGCACACCCCAAATCCCAAAGGTAGGGAGAAATGGAGGAGAAGGGATTGCTGCATGACCATGCCCCATGGGGAGATGGGGAGGTACTTTCTCACTTTCTTTCTCTCTCTCTCTCTCTCTCTCTCTCTCTCTCTCTCTCTCTCTCTCCCTCTCCCTTTCTCTGGCAAGCTCACGTGCCCTCTGGCAAATTTTAAAAAAAAGTAAATAAAAACATACAAGTGCCACTCAGGGAAACAATATTTGATAAGATTAATGAAGTAGCTTGTTTCTGTTATAGATTAACATAACCAAATCATTGACTATTAACTATATGTTAACATTGTCATGGCCTTGGGTGGTTAGTCATATGAAAGCATATCTATCTATATCTAGATCTAGATACAGCTATATATATGAATATTATGAAAAATCAATGTGGAAACATAATGTCTTTGGCAAACTAAGAACCTCAAAGCAGCTTACCTATCCCCCAAAACAACATATGCATTAATGATCCAAACAGCCATATGCCTGCAAACCTGCAATCATGACTCTCCAAAATCTAGTCCAGACAGAAAGTAATAGGACCTCTCTCCCTCAATAATTCTTGGATGTTTCAGCCACATGGTATGTTCTTTCTTGTCACTCTAATTGTTATATTCTTGTGATGAGAATGGTCAAAATAATTGAAATGTCTAAATTTACCATGTGTCTTTACTGAAAACTAGATTATGTCAATAGTTTTTAGA